AGATCTAGGTGACGTTGAAGCATATGGTAATACTGAGCCGTGTTGCAACTCGCACATGCGGGTCTTTTTTTATCTGAGCCCGTAGTGATTTCATAATTCTCCCACTGATCACGGAAAAACAACCAGTTTTGATACAAATCGCCTTTCATGTCCATGGCGCTAGGCACCATCATTTGACTGGGAGACATTGCAGGCTCTTCGTCCTCGCTCGTTTGTTCTACTTGTTTGCGTTTATCCGACAGCGATTACATTGTCCACATACGTTATCATCTTTTCCGTAGATTGGTATCTGTCGGGGAGGAAGGCTATGTGAACTTCTCTGGACGTCTTCTGAGGAGGACCATTCTTTTTTTTACCGTGCTTTCGCACTCTCCCTCACCCACCGAAGTGCCTCTTGTCCTGGGGTCTGTCTCCCGCGGGCTCCCCTCTCTCTTTTCTCTCTCTCCCCCTACCCAGTCGTCCGACTGAAACTCTACATTTGCTATTATTCTTGTCAGGTCTTCTGATGCAGGCAGGCGCATTCCCGTGTGTTGGCGGCGGACACAGCAGGTGGAGTGTTTGAAGCGGACCATTAGAACCACGGCACGTATCAACACACTGCGAGGCCCGGCCAACTAACAGATAGAAACAGACAGGACAGCCTGAAACAAGCTCAGCTAATTTAAAATATAAAAAAACTTTAATATTTGGTTATAAGTAAGGTAGTTATGACAGTAATAACAACAGGTTAACTACAGGTTGTGGAAATGGTTGTAGGAGCTCTGCTCTCTGTCTGTCTCTGTCTGTCTCTGTCTGTCTCTGTCGCTGTCTCTCACTGTCTCTGTCTGTCTCTGTCTGTCTTTCTCTGTCTCTGTCTGTCTCTGTCTGTCTGTCTCTGTCTATCTCTGTCTGTTTCTGTCTCTGTCTGTCTCTGTCTGTCTCTGTCTGTCTCTGTCTATCTCTGTCTGTTTCTGTCTCTCTGTCTGTTTCTGTCTCTGTCTGTCTCTGTCTCTCTCTGTATCAGTCTCTTTCTGTATCTGTCTGTATTGGTCTCTATCTGTCTCTGTCTGTCTCTGTCTCTGTCTGTCTCTGTCTGTTTCTGTGTCATTCTGTCTCTGTCTGTCTCTGTCTGTCTGTCTGTCTGTCTGTCTGTCTGTCTGTCTGTCTGTCTGTCTGTCTGTCTGTCTGTCTGTCTGTCTGTCTGTCTGTCTGTCTCTGTCTGTCTCTGTCTATCTCTGTCTGTCTATTTCTGTTTCTGTCTGTTTCTGTCTCTGTCTGTTTCTGTCTGTCTGTCTCTGTCTCTGTCTGTCTCTGTCTCTCTGTATCGGTCTCGTTCTGTATCTGTCTGTCTCTGTCTGTCTCTGTCTCTGTCTCTGTCTCTGTCTCTGTCTCTGTCTCTGTCTGTCTCTGTCTCTCTCTGTATTGGTCTCTTTCTGTATCTGTCTGTATCAGTCTCGTTCTGTATCTGTCTGTATCAGTCTGTTCTGTATCTGTCTGTATCTGTCTGTCTCTGTCTCTATCTGTCAGTCTTTGAATCCACAGTAAATATACAGTCAGGTCAAAATGTATTGGCACCCTTGATAAAGATGAGCATAAAATACTTTAAAATAAATAATACAAATACTGAGCTATATAGTATGCTCAAAACAATTGGAAAATTAGATTATTTATACTAATACAATTGCTCAGAGAAATAGATTTTGTTTAACAAGCAACACATTTTTTCTCAAAAAGGTAGGGTAAAAATGATTGGTACTCCTGTTTTCAATATCTTTCAATACTTCACCTTGCAAGGATGACAACACTGAGCCTTTTTCTAAAATATTTTATAAGATTGGAGAACACATTGGGAGGGATCTTAGACCATTCCTCCATACAGAATCTTTTCAGATTCTTGATATCCTTCGTCTGCATTTATGGATTACCCTCTTCATTTCAAACCTCAGGTTTTCAAAGGGGTTGAAGACTGGAGACTGAGATGGCCATTGCAAAATGTTGATTTTGTGGTCAATTAACCATTTCTTCTTGGATTTTTTGTGCTTGGGGATATTGTCCTGCTGGAAGATCCACTTGTGGCCAAGTTTCAGCCTCCTGGCAAAGGCATCCAGATTTTTGGCAAAAATGTCCTGGTACTGGGTAAAGATCATGATGCCGTTGACCTGAACAAGGGCCCCAGGACCAGTGGATGCAAAATAGCCCCATAACATCAAAGATCCACCACCATATTTTACAGTATGTATGAGGTACTTTTCTGAATAAGCATATTTTTTTATTGTCATGCAAAAGTCTGCCGGCCTCACGGTAATTGACCGTTAATTAACATAAACACGTTTATTTCAAGGCCTCCACACATACAAGCCGCTGACGCCTTTTAAACATCTACATTTAAAAAAGTATAATAAATCAATTTAATGTACACCATCACAATAAATCCATTATTTAATTTTGGCAGGTCTAAAGAAACATTATGATATGATATGAAGAAAATGTATTTCAGAAGAACAGTATGAGTTGGCCCACTGTATGTTATCTGGCTATGCTCCATGCCATAGCCTGTAGGCTTGTTCATTTAGCAGACAAGATACGCTTATAAGTCCTGTGCCATTATTTTTATATCACATGATTTTATAGTTATAAGAATATAATTGAACTTAGCTGAATAAAAAAGAAAGGATATTTTTCCCATTCCGGAGCGAGTGCACATGTGAAGTGGGTATGTTGAGTGTAAAACAGCTGCGGAAGAAATTAAGAGACCACTGCAAAATTATCTGTTTCTCTGGTTTTACTATTTATAGGTATGTGTTTGGGTAAAAATAACATTTTTGTTTTATTCTAGAAACTAATGACAACATTTCTCCCAAATTCCAAATAAAAATATTGTCATTTAGAGCATTTATTTGCAGAAAATGACAACTGGTCAAAATAACAAAAAAGATGCAGTGTTGTCAGACCTCGAATAATGCAAAGAAAATAAGTTCATGTTCATTTTTAAACAACACAATAGTAATGTTTTAACATAGGAAGAGTTCAGAAATTAATATTTGGTTGAATAACCCTGATTTTCAATCACAGCTTTCATGCGTCTTGGCATGCTCTCCACCAGTCTTTCATATTGATGTTGGGTGACTTTATGCCACTCCTGGCGCAAAAATTCAAGCAGCTCAGCTTTGTTGATGGCTTGTGACCATCCATCTTCCTCTTGATCACATTCCAGAAGTTTTCAATGGGGTTCAGGTCTGGAGATTAGGCTGGCCATGACAGGGTCTTGATCTGGTGGTCCTCCATCCACACCTTCATTGACCTGGCTGTGTGGCATGGCGCATTGTCCTGCTGGAAAAACCAATCCTCAGAGTTGGGGAACAATGTCAGAGCAAAAGGAAGCAAGTTTTCTTCCAGGACAACCTTGTACGTGGCTTGATTCATGCATCCATCACAAAGACAAATCTGCTTGATTCCAGCCTTGCTGAAGCACCCCCAGATCATCACCAATCCTCCACCAAATTTCACAGTGGGTGCGAGACACTGTGGCTTGTAGGCCTCTCCAGGTCTCCGTCTAACCATTAGACGACCAGGTGTTGGGCAAAGCTTAAAATTGGACTCATCAGAGAAGATGACCTTACTCCAGTCCTCTACGGTCCAATCCTTATGGTCTTTTGCAAACCTCAGCCTGGCTCTTCTTTGCTTCTCATTGATGAAGGGCTTTTTTCTAGCTTTGCACGACTTCAGCCCTGCCCCTAGCAGCCTGTTTCGAACCGTCCTCACCGTGCACTTCACCCCAGCTGCCGTTTGTCATTATTTTTGTAGGTCACTTGATGTCATCCTACGGTTGTTGAGTGACATTCGAATGAGTTGGCGGTCATCCCGGTCAGCAGAGAGTCATTTTCGCCTTCTGCCGGTCTGTAGCTTTGTTGTCCCCAATGTCAGCTGCTTGACCTTGTTCTTATGAACCGCCGTTTTTGAAATTTTAAGGATGGAAGCAACCTGATGCTCACTGTATCCCTCTGCCAGTAAAGCCAGAATTGAACCTTTCTTTTCCTCACTCAAAACTTTCCTTTTCAACTCTTTTGGCATGGTCAATAGTTATTTTTGTATTAATATTACTTTTGAGGTACTATTAGCACTGTTTTTGCCATCCAGCTGGTCCTATTGCAAGAGGATAGTGATGTCCACAGCAGTTGTTTTTATACTTTTCCCCGTTAAATAAGATTTGGTTCAGGTGATCACCTAATCAGTACCTAATTCAGCAGAATGAGGTGTGCCTGTGTTGGAATTTCAAGTGCGACGTTATTAACAATGGTTTTGGGAAACAGGTCGGAGATTTAAAGATGCTCCTACGAAGGTTCTAAAAAATTAACTTAGCCTTAAGATGCTTTTGGGAAACCAGGCCCTGTACCATAGCTTGGCCCCAGTCGTTCAAAAGGTATCTGGCCCTGTATGGTGATCTAGGTGATGAGTTGGACTGTAGAGGGCAGTATAGGGCTAGTCCTGATGGTTTCGGTTCAGTGCTGGTGTAGGGTTTAAGGTTTAGGGTCAGTGCTGGTGTAGGGTTTAGGGTTTAGGGCAATGCAACTCCTGCGGTCCTCCTGGCGGTGTGTCTTCATGTGAGCGTTACGACTCTTCACTTTAGAGAACACCCTGAAGGAGAGGAGGAGAGATGAGAACACAGTACAGACAGACAGACAGACAGACAGACAGACAGACAGACAGACAGACACACACACACACACACACACACACACACACACACACACACACACAGTAGAGAAGTTGCTGGATGGATGGATAGATAGATGGATAGCTGACAGAAGGTATCTCTCTTACTTGGCACATGCCCTACAGGGGTATGGAGGGGTAGGCTGTGTGTGGTGCATGGAGCTGGGGGGAGAGTTGCTTGGTCTGGGATTGGAGCTGAATACAGATGGGGACATCCTCAGACAGACAGGCCCAGAAAAGTGAGCCCTGTTGGGCCTCTCTACCTCTCCCAGGGTTGGGCTACAGCAACCAGAACCAGAACCAACCTGGAGCAGGGGACAGGAAGAACCACAGTGGATCGGTTGACAGGCATTCTTTGTAGAAATGGTGTGGAGCCCCATCTTGCCATTCATGGTGGGCTGAGAAGGATAGACGTACAGAGAGAACAGGTTACAGTAGGACTGACAGCTAGTCTGGTAGGTTCTCTCTATACCTTGTCTGCCCTCTCTCTCTCTTTCAATTCAATTCAAAGGAACTTTATTGGCATGGGAAAAGTGTTTACATTGCCAAAGCAAGTGAAATAAACAATAAACAAAAGTGAGAAGACACAAAACAACGTAAACAAAACATTAGAAATGAACAGTAAATATCTCTCGGTCTCTATTTCTCTCCACAGAGACACTCACCTGTCCATCATTGTAGTCCCCGCTGGCGAGGGAGACGATGTGATTGGCTGTGGGCCCAGAGCAGGGGAGAACGACTGCCCCCCCTCAGTGAAGCCACAAAGTTCAAGGCCGACCGCGGTACTGCAGGCATTGTTTGCAGAAAACAAGATCCCCCATTATAGTGAGGGGAAAATGGCAAACTTCCTGGACTATCTTCAGGGACACAACTTTGGTTTTACAAGTGGGGGGGACATAACTTGGCAGGGGGTCTGAGGGTCCTCACATTTTTTGGGCATCTAAAGCTCATTTCCTGAACTTCTACACAATCTAATATGACGCATAGTATGTATATGTAGTCCCTTGTAGCTCAGTTGGTAGAGCATGGCGCTGGGAACACCAGGGTTGTTGGTTCAATTCCCACGGGGGGGCCAGTATGAAAATGTATGCACTCACTAACTGTAAGTCGCTCTGGATAAGAGCGTCTGCTAAATGACTAAAATGTCAATGCATAGCCCTTCCAGCAGTCATCAAGCTAGGTAAGAGACCATTATTAAATATTTTTAAGTGATTGATAAGACTGAACTAGATCAATGGTAATTCAGTAATCAAAATTGTGTTGCACCTTTAACCAATAGCCTATCAAATGAACAACTCTTACAAATAAAGTACAAAGACTTAACTTTTGAATGTCTTTATTAAAACATCCTCTATATCAAATGTCAGCCAGAACACCCAGCCAGCCCGATCCGCCTGCACGCCCGACCCCCACCAGTCTAGTCAATAACTCAACTCTCTCCCCGACCCCAACCAGTCTAGTCAATAACTCAACTCTCTCCCCGACCCCCACCAGTCTAGTCAATAACTCAACTCTCTCCCCGACCCCAACCAGTCTAGTCAATAACTCAACTCTCTCCCCGACCCCCAACCAGTCTAGTCGATAACTCAACTCTCTCCCCGACCCCCAACCAGTCTAGTCAATAACTCAACTCTCTCCCCGACCCCCAACCAGTCTAGTCAATAACTCAACTCTCTCCCCGACCCCCAACCAGTCTAGTCAATAACTCAACTCTCTCCCCGACCCCCACCAGTCTAGTCAATAACTCAACACTTTCCCCGACAACTTCCATGTGCTAGTTTAACAAAAACAGACATACACCTACACATTAACACACAGAAACAGTACATCCTCCATATAATTCATATCATGGGTCTAATAGTACTGTAGAGCTCTTTTTACTTGCACACAATAAAACTTGGTCGCCCCGTCCTGCCCATGCAGCTCCCCAACCCAACACACCCCACTTAGCTTTAGGATCTTAGTGAAACATTCATTATAGGTTTCGGGTGTCTTAGGCCAAGCCAAGAGTGACAACCAACAGTACAGCAGACCCCCAGGGCCGGGACTGAGCAGCCCAGCAGCTAGGGATTGCCTAAATAGGTATCTCCCCTGACGTGTATCAACATTTCCAAGCAAACAAAAACAGGTAGAATCTGTAGACATGCTGAGATAAAAGAACATACTCTTTGCGAGAATTCAGCCAGCCTTCACAAGACCATAACATATGCAAATATTTTAAACCTCCAGCAGAATAATTACATTTCTGAGTGCATGATATTCAGTTCAACTGGCATATAGTACGTTCTATGGATGGTCTTAAACTGCAGTAATTTATGTCTGAGATTATATGAACATGCCTGGGCATTCAAACATATCTGCATCCATTCATCATCGTCAGTAGCGTCTCCCTGGTCTTCCTCACGTTTTCATTTTACATGTTTTGTGTCATCGGGAAAAGCCTCTATCAACCCCTTCATACAGTTTGGAAATCAACTTTAGAGGTTTGTCAGACTGCCTTAAAATAGTTTCAATCTTTGAAGCTTCTTGCTTGTCCAGTGTTTACTGCACAGAGAGAATAAAGTGTTGTATCTGCAAAAGTTCCCTGGCTGCCTGACCCTGATGAGACCCCTGTCACCGTCTGATCCTGCTCAGATGAGGCATGACAAAGAATTACCATGGTGTACATTTATACAGTATCCATGAATATAATCAATGGTTCAATAATTGAAATGACCATTATTCCCAGATCCAAAACTGTAGCCTACCCATCAACTCAAGATGGAACTTTGTATCCATTCACTGATTGTTATAATATACTGCAAAATTCCCCTGAGCTCCGTAGACTGGTCGATGAGCATAGTGTTGCCTACTGACTGTGCACCATGACAGTGAAGGCTGTAGAGCTGTTTATACCATGTCAGTGTGAAAAGTAGGGAATTAGCTAGGGAAACTGACAGATCAATAACGTTACATTGCTATACTTACTAATAAAAACTCACATTACGCTGTAGAAATGTCAGAGTATATTGGTCTTCAATCATTTGGCCACTGTTTTCATCGTTTTTATTCAGGTCTAGTTTGATTTAGGCAAAACATAATAGCTAAAGTTAATGAGCTAGCTAGCTAACGTTAGCCAACGTTTGGCTGGCTCTAGCTAATGGTACAACGGCACATCATCAGATTTACTTCAGTTGAAACAGGGGGACAAAACAAAGGCTACAAAATATTTCCATACACACAACAGCTGTTAGATACTGCTAACTGACAGATAGCTAGAGGCTAGCTAGACCTGAACTGGCTGTGGTAGATGCTAGCTAGAGCTGAACTGGCTGTGGTAGATGCTAGCTAGAGCTGAACTGGCTGTGGTAGATGCTAGCTAGAGCTGAACTGGCTGTGATAGCTACAGTGAGGGAAAAAAGTGTTTGATCCCCTGCTGATTTTGTACGTTTGCCCACTGACAAAGAAGTGATCAGTCTATAATTTAATGGTAGGTTTTTTTTAACAGTGAGAGACATAATAACAAAAACAAAAAAATCCAGAAAAGCGCATGTAAAAAATGTTTTAAATTGATTCGCATTTTAATGAGGGAAATAAGTATTTGACCCCCTCTCAATCAGAAAGATTTCTGGCTCCCAGGTGTCTTTTATACAGGTAATGAGCTGAGATTAGGAGCACACTCTTAAAGGGAGTGCTCCTAATCTCAGCTTGTTACCTGTATAAAAGACACCTGTCCACAGAAGCAATCAATCAATCAGATTCCAAACTCTCCACCATGGCCAAGACCAAAGAGCTCTCCAAGGATGTCAGGGACAAGATTGTAGACCTACACAAGGCTGGAATGGGCTACAAGACCATTGCCAAGCAGCTTGGTGAGAAGGTGACAACAGTTGGTGCGATTATTCACAAATGGAAGAAACATAAAAGAACTGTCAATCTCCCTCAGCCTGGGGCTCCATGCAAGATCTCACCTCATGGAATTGCAATGATCATGAGAACGGTGAGGAATCAGCCCAGAACTACACGGGAGGATCTTGTCAATGATCTCAAGGCAGCTGGGACCATAGTCACCAAAAAAACAATTGGTAACACACTACGCCGTGAAGGACTGAAATCCTGCAGCGCCCGCAAGGTCCCCCTGCTCAAGAAAGCACATATACAGGCCCGTCTGAAGTTTGCCAATCAACATCTGAATGATTCAGAGGAGAACTGGGTGAAAGTGTTGTGGTCAGATGAGACCAAAATCGAGCACTTTGGCATCAACTCAACTCGCCATGTTTGAAGGAGGAGGAATGCTGCCTATGACCCCAAGAACACCATCCCCACCGTCAAACATGGAGGTGGAAACATTATGCTTTGGGGGTGTTTTTCTGCCAAGGGGACAGGACAACTTCACCGCATCAAAGGGACGATGGACGGGGCCATGTACTGTCAAATCTTGGGTGAGAACCTCCTACCCTCAGCCAGGTTATTGAAAATGGGTTGTGGATGGGTATTCCAGCATGACAATGACCCAAAACACATGGCCAAGGCAACAAAGGAGAGGCTCAAGAAGAAGCACATTATGGTCCTGGAGTGGCCTAGCCAGTCTCCAGACCTTAATCCCATAGAAAATCTGTGGAGGGAGCTGAAGGTTCGAGTTGCCAAACGTCAGGCTCGAAACCTTAATGACTTGGAGAAGATCTGCAAAGAGGAGTGGGACAAAATCCCTCCTGAGATGTGTGCAAACCTGGTGGCCAACTACAAGAAACATCTGACCTATGTGATTGCCAACAAGGGTTTTGCCACCAAGTACTAAGTCATGTTTTGCAGAGGGGTCAAATACTTATTTCCCTCTTTAAAATGCAAATCAATTGATAACATTTTTGACATGCGTTTTTCTGGATTTTTTTGTTGTTATTCTTTCTCTCACTGTTCAAATAAACCTACCATTAAAATTATAGACTGATCATGTCTTTGTCAGTGGGCAAACGTACAAAATCAGCAGGGGATCAAATACTTTTTTTCCTCACTGTACTAGCTAGCTATCTAGCTGCTAGTAGTTAATTCACTTCAGTCGAGAGGGGATGAAACATTGGCTAACGTAAAATGTCAGTTACACTTCTATAATTAAATACATTTTGTTCTATCAAACAGCAGTTACCTTGCCAGCTATATCATTCAACTAAAGAGTAGCCAGTTTCTGCTCTGCTTGCTTTTACAACTGAGAGAAAAAGCACAACACAGACAGCAGCTGCCTCTGATAATTTCTCCCATGCTGATCCTATAAGCCATCCTATCAGAAGCTGTGCCTTCACACAGCCTGTCCGCATGGTCCAGTGCAGTCCTAAATCCAGCCGGCTGAAACCGGAAAACAGCCTACCTGACCGCTCTGAGGCATCCACATGGTCCTAAAGCACACCGGTGCCGCGTTTTGTATCACAGTATAATTTTTTAACTGGGTGGGACAAAAATTCAATTTCAGAATGTGTGTGTGTGGGGGGGCGGGGGTCATGTCCCCCCTTGTCCCCAGTGAAAGTTGCGCCCTTGTCAATCTTCATGTAAATAAATACATGTTTAGAAAACAATCATGGAACCAATAATTGGTTCTAACACACCAGATGTATGTCCTGATTATTTTTTAATCACACAGAAGAAGTTATAATGATAATTAAGTAGCTAATGGCAGCCTGCAGTACCCCGGTTGATCTTCAACTTGAGATACTCAATCAGAGGGGGCAGCACTGAGCTAGCCTGCAACGTAATTTCCTGGAGAAGCTCAAACTGCGCATGTTATGTCTCCATGAGACGCCATCTTAACCGACTTCTTTGGCTTCTAATGCGCAATTGAATCTTCACAAAGGAATGACTGGTGTCATGTGATCGATGGCTTTGTCCATTAAAATACACAGTCATTGGCCCAGAGAGGTCAGCTAATCTGGTTATTGAGAGCTCCTTATTGGTGGGGCACCTCCTCAAGTCCCTCCCTAACCATTATGCCAGCCTATCAAAGAGCAAAGACACAGTCTGTGTCCCAGCAATCTAAAATGGCGTCCTTTACTTCGTGACCATTGCTATGTGAAAGCCCTGGATAGACTAACGACTGTATGGCTTTCATTGGAGAATAAAAAAGAGGTGCTGCGTTCAACAAGGCTGATTGTATGTGAACGTTTCTTTACATGTTGCTAACATATTCCATAAGCGTTCTGTTCAATGTCCTTACCTGAGGCAGTGTGCTGGCCAGCCTGACCGGGGACCTTACATTTAGACGCAGCCTCCTCTTCCAGGTGTAGTAATACTCCACACACTGAGACACTGACTTAGTCCCCACCTACACACACACACACACACACACACACACACACACACACACACACACACACACACACACACACACACACACACACACACACACACACACACACACACACACACACACACACACACACACACACGTAAGTCCAAAGAACTATAGAGGGATAGTAGTAATGAGGGTGTTTAAAGCGTTGTGTACCATTTTCTGGATGCGGTGGAAGTCCTTCTGGTACATCATAAAGGCTTTATTTACCAACTTTTTCTCCACTGGACTCCACTTATCACTCCCTGAGAAGAGAGAGAGAGAGAAGAGAGAGAGAGACAGAGAGAGAGAGAGAGAGAGAGAGAGAGAGAGAGAGCAGAGAGATAGACAGAGAGAGAGAGAGAGAGAGAAGACAGAGAGAGAGAGAGAGAGAGATCTTAGAGGATAAGATAGAGATATATATATATAATAGATCATCATATAGATACAATATATAGATATAGAATATTAGATATAGAGAGATATAGAGAGTATATAGACCTAGAGATATCTCTATCTCGAGACAGACATAGGACAACATACAACCACCTTTCACAGCCAACCAACCTGCACAGGTCCTCTATGCCATTGTTATTTTTACCCTTGATTATTGTTGATACTGATTGTCCCATTGACAATCTTGATTATTATTATTTTAATGATGTTCATATTGTAAATGTATCACTTAATCTCCAAAGTACGCTCTGGCAATATGGACACTACCAGTCAAAAGTCTGGAAACACCTACTCATTCAAGGGTTTTTCTTTATAGAATAATAGTGAAGACATCAAAACTATGAAATAACGACATAAGGAATCAATTTAGAAAATAGTCCAAAAAAATTAAGAAAAACCCTTGAATGAGTAGGTGTGTCCAAACTTTTGACTGGTACTGTACATTGTTACGTCATGCCAATAAAGCAAATTGAATTGAAGTGAAAAATTGAGAGAAAGAGAGATGAGAGAGAGAGAGATGCGAGAGAGAGAAAGATGCGAGAAAGAGAGAGAGAGAGAGAGAGAGAGAGAGAGAGAGAGAGGAGAGAGAGGAGAGAGAAGCATAGGAGAGACGAAAGAGAAAGAGAGAGAGAAATGCGAGAGAGAGAGAGAGATCGAGAGAGAGAAAGAATGACCCCTAGAGATGAGAGATGGAGAGAGAGACAGAGCAAGAGGACAGAGAGAAAGAGAGAAGAGAGATAGAGAGAGATACCGGCAAAGAGATAGGGAAGACCTAGGGGGGGGGGGGGGGAACAGAGATAGAGAGAAAGATATCTAGAGAGAGAGAGATGCAGAGAGAGAGAGAGAGAGAGAGAGAGAGAGGAGAGAGAGAGCAGAGAGGGAGGAGAGAGAGAGCATTATGTATGGAACTGCTTAGACAGTGTTTGAGCATGTGAATCACCTGCGTAGTGGTATGGGGTGAGAGAGTTGTGTCTCCTAGGCCAGTGCTGCAGGAGCATCTTCTCCAGAGTCCCCTAGAGGTGGAGACGAGGAACTGAAGGATTAAGACTGATTGATTGATTGGTTGATTGATTGAATTTATTCGATAATATTAAAAGTAGAAGGCTGCTCTAGCCAGAGACGACAGGTTGGGGTTGGAGCTGAGGTTGGGTTAGGAGACGACATTACAAGACAGTGATTAGTGTTTCTTCATTCTGTCTTTTCTGTATGACTGTTGCTGATTTCCCCTCAGAGACCAACAACATGTGATTGATTGACGTGATGTAAATGTAAACTCTGACCAGGAAGTCCCCTCTGCTCTCGGATAGGCTGTGCAGGGCATACTCGGAGTTAGTCCCGCCCCCCGGACACACACTGGAACATGACATCATCAACAGACACTCCACTGGAGAGAGAGAGAGAGAGAGAGAGAGAGAGAGAGAGAGAGAGAGAGAGAGAGAGAGAGAGAGAGAGAGAGAGAGAGAGAGAGAGAGAGAGAGAAAGATTATCTCTTGTGAGAGGGAACGTGACCACACTCTCGATCGACATGATTTTGTACAGAATGTGTGTGTCTGTGTGCGTGTGTGTGTGTGTGGCAGTGCTGGGAAGTCAATTCAGGAAGTGATTTTAATTAAAAATAAAAACATTAAAAAACGTTGAAAAGTCATTGAAAATAGATGCAGTTTTTTCAAATGTTGAATTGTTATATAGTTTACCGTTTGAATTGACTGCCTTCAATTCCAATTGACCCCAGCCCTGATATGTGAGTGGATGTGTAGCAACGGTCGTCAAAATGGATAAAACGGTCAAAAATACAGTTCTGATAAATGTAACAGCTGCAATATGGAGTAAGATACTAAATCATTTTAGAATAAATAAAAAAATAATCAAATATTGACTTTATTATAGCACATAAATAATTGTTTAATGAGAGACAGAAAATCAATGGAATCAAGATATTTTGGACATCTTCTCTCTTGTCATGTAGTGGCAATGTCAGTGCGTTTAATCCCCATCGATATATTAGCTTTGATACACTATATATACACAAAAGTATGTGGACACCCCTTCATATTAGTGGATTCGGCTATTTCACCCACACCCGTTGCTGACAGGTGTATAAAAATCGAGCACACAGTCATGCAATCTCCATAGACAAACATTGGCAGTAGAATGGCCTCACTGAAGAGCTCAGTGACTTTCAACGTGGCACCGTCATAGGACGCTACCTTTCCAACAAGTCAGTTCGTCAAATTTCTGCCCTGCCAGAGCTGCCTCGGTCAACTGTAAGTGCTGTTATTGTGAAGTGGAAACGTCTAGAAGCAACAACTGCTCAGCCGCAAAATGGTAGGCCACACAAGCTCAAAGAACGGTTAAGTTTGGTGGAGGTGGAATAATGGTCTGGGGCTGGTTTTCATGGTTTGGGCAAGGCCCCTGAGTTCCAGTGAAGGGAAATCTTAATGCTACAGCATACAATGACATTCTAGATGATTCTGTGCTTCGAACTTTGTGGCAACAGTTTGGGGAAGGCCTTTTCCTGTTTCAGCATGACAATGCCCCCGTGCACAAAGCGAGGTCCATACAGAAATGGTTTGTCAAGATCGGTGTGGAAGAACTTGACTGGCCTGCACAGAGCCCTGACCTCAACCCTCATCGAACACCTTTGGAATGAATTGGAACGCCGACTGCGAGCCAGGCCTAATCGCCCAACATCAGTGACCGACCTCACCAATGCTCTTGTTGCTGAATGGAAGAAAGTCCCCACAGCAATGTTCCAACATCTAGTCGAAGGCCTTCCCAGAAGAGTGGAGGCTGCTATAGCAGTAAAAGGGGGAACAACTCCATATTTAATCCCCATGAATTTGGAATGAAATGTTTGACGAGCAGGTGTCCACATACTTTTGGTCATGTAGTGTAAACACGTGGGTCAAAACATTTTTGTCCCATGTCTACGATTTCCAATGATACCCCTATCCATTTCAGACATCGCTTCACACTTTTTCCTGATAGTAAAGTCCAGGAGAAAAGGTGGTTTGTACAGGTAATAGTATGAATATTGTCAGTTTCTATTTTGACAGCAATCGGTGAAGTGATAATTAGTTGCAAATAAATGAGCCACTTCTCTGCCAAACTAGAACTGAAAAGAGGTGTAATCTCAGGTGGGCTTGAGCCTTGCTAGAGTGTGTGTTTGTGCGTGTCAGTGGAGGCTCCTCAGAGGAGGAAGGGGATGACCATCTTCAGTGAATTTCAAAAAAATTAAATAGCGAAACAGTAAAAAAGTTATCCTTTTTAGATAAAACTATACTAAATATATTCACGTCACCAAATAATTGATTAAAACACAATGTTTTGCAATGAAGGTCTACAGTAGCCTCAACAGCACTCTGTAGGTTAGCACCATGGTGTAGCCGGAGGACAGCTAGCTTCAGTCCTCCTCTGGGTACATTGACATCAATACAAAACCTAGGAGGCTCATGGTTCTCACCCCTTCCATAGATCTACAGAGTAATTATGACAACTTCCGGTGGACATCCTCCAACCTATCAGAGCTCTTGCAGCATGAACTGACATGTTGTCCACCCAATCACAGGATCAGAGAATGAATTTAGTACTGAAAGCATAAGCTACAGCTACAGTGCCTTGCAAAAGTATTCATCCCCCTTGGCGTTTTTCCTATTTTGTAGCATTACAACCTGTAATTTAAATTGATTTTTATTTGGATTTCATATAATGGACATACACAAAACAGTCCAAATTGGTGAAGTGACATGAAAAAAATAACTTTTTTCAAAAAATTCTAAAAAATAAATAACGGAAAAGTGTTGCATGCATATGTATTCACCCCCTTTGCTATGAAGCCCCTAAATAAGATCTGGTGCAACCTTCAGAAGTCACATAATTAGTTAAATAAAGTCCACCTGTGTGCAATCTAAGTGTCACATGATCTGTCACATGATCTCAGTATATATACACCTGTCCTGAAAGGCCACAGAGTCTGCAACACCACTAAGCAAGGGGCACCACCAAGCAAGCGGCACCATGAAGACCAAGGAGCTCTCCAAACAGGTCAGGGACAAAGTTGTGGAGAAGTAAAGATCAGGGTTGGGTTATATGTCCGGCGCAAACCCCCGAGAACACCAGCATGGTGGTGGCAGCATCATGCTGTGGGGATGTTTTTCATCGGCAGGGACTGTGGGGATGTTTTTCATCGGCAGGGACTGGGAAACTGGTCAGAATTGAAGGAATGATGGATGGCGCTAAATACAGGGAAATTCTTGAGGGAAACCTGTTTCAGTCTTCCAGAGATTTGAGACTGGGACGGAGGTTCACCTTCCAGCAGGACAATGACCCTAAGCATACTGCTAAAGCAACACTTGAGTGGTTTAAGTGGAAACATTTAAATGTATTGGAATGGCCTAGTCAAAGCCAAGACCTCAATCCAATTGAGAATCTGTGGTATGAGTTAAAGATTGCTGTACACCAGCGGAACCCATCCAACTTGAAGGAGCTGGAGACGTTTTGCCTTGAAGAATGCATGCTGAAGTTTTCTGTTTTCTGTCTTATTTCTTGTTTGTTTCACAATAACAAATATTTTGCATCTTCAAAAATCCATTTTAATTCCAGGTTGTATTTCGACAAACAAAAATGCCAAGGGGGTGAATACTTTCGCAAGCCACTGTAGCTAGCACTGCAGTGCATAAAATGTGGTGTGTAGCTGACTCCAAGAGTGAGAAAGACAATAGTTGAACAGTTTTGAACAAATGCATTTCTTCAAAAATGAAAGAGAAGCAAGAGAGAGAGAGCTAGCTATATTTCACTGTATTTTTTTCACTTTCACTTACTTAGCTAGTGAATGCAGCTAGCTAGTTTTGCCTACTCAAACACCTGGCTAAAACAGCTTAATTAGCTGGGTAAGGCTATCCAACACTAGAACTCTTCCAAGTCTTGGTAAGCTTTTCGTTTTATTAATGTATTGCCCGCCGGTGTAACTGCTAAACTGCTTGCTGACTATACTTTATGATTGTAGCAGGTTTACTAACATGTTAGTTCTAGTAGCTATGTTGACTATGACTTTAGCTAATGGTGACAAAGATGTAGGCTGTGTGTAGCGGGTAGCGGTTATGATATGAAGGTTTGGCTTGGAAAGGTTTTTTAGCCTGGTCACAGACAGCTGATGTGTTGTGCACTGAAGTCCACAAGCGAAGGGATAAGATTAGAGGAGGAGAGCACGTAGATGCGAGAAGGAATTATACAACAAGAAAAGTGATCATGCTGTTTGTATGTGGCTTCCTATGAAAGTGAACTGTGTTTGCGTATGATCAGGGGTGTATTCATTCCGATGATTCTGTTGAAAAATGTTTCTTAAACAGAAGCAAACAGAATGAAATGGGGATTAACATACAGTTGAAGTCGGAAGTTTACATACACTTAGGTTGGAGTCATTACAATTCGTTTTTCAACCACTCCACACATTTCTTGTTAACAAACTATAGTTTTGGCAAGTCGGTTAGGACATCTACTTTGTGCATGACACAAGTAATTTTTCCAACAATTGTTTACAGACAGATTAGTTCACTTATAATTCACTGTATCACAATTCCAGTGGGTCAGAAGTTTACATACACTAAGTTGACTGTGCCTTTAAACAGCTTGGAAAATTCCAGAAAATGATGTCATGGCTTTAGAAGCTTCTGATAGGCTAATTGACATAATTTCAGTCAATTGGAGGTGTACCTGTGGATATATTTCAAGGCCTACCTTCAAACTCAGTGCCTCTTTGCTTGACATCATAGGGAAATCAAAAGAAATCAGACAAGACCTCAGAAAAAAAATGGTAGACCTCCACAAGTCTGGTTCATCCTTGGGAGCAATTTCCAAACACCTGAAGGTACCACGTTCATCTGTACAAACAATAGTACGCAAGTATAAACACCATGGGACCACGCAGCCGTCATACCGCTCAAGAAGGAGACGCGTTCTGTCTCGTAGAGATGAACGTACTTTGGTGCGAAAAGTGCAAATAAATCCCAGAACAACAGCAAAGGACCTTGTGAAGATGCTGGAGGAAAACAGGTACAAAAGTATCTATATCCTATATCGACATAACCTGAAAGGCCGCTCAGCAAGGAAGAAGCCACTGCTCAAAAACCGCCATAAAAAAGACAGACTACGGTTGAACAACTGCACATGGGGACAAAGATCGTACTTTTTGGAGAAATGTCCTCTGGTCTGATGAAACAAAAATAGAACTGTTTGGCCATAATGACCATCGTTATGTTTGGAGGAAAAAGGGGATTGCTTGCAAGCCAAAGAACACCATCCCAACCGTGAAGCACGGGGGTGGCAGCATCATGCTGAGGGGGTGCTTTGCTGCAGGAGGGACTGGTGCACTTCACAAAATAGATGGCATCATGAGGAAGGAAAATTATGTGGATATATTGAAGCAATATCTCAAGACATCAGTCAGGAAGTTAAAGCTTGGTCGCAAATGGGTCTTCCAAATGGACAATGACCCCAAGCATACTTGCAAAGTTGTGGCAAAATGGCTTAAGGACAACAAAGTCAAGGTACTGGAGTGGCCATCACAAAGCCCTGACCTCAATCCTATAGAAAATGTGTGGGCAGAACTGATAAAGCGTGTGTGAGCAAGGAGGCCTACAAACCTGACTCAGTTACACAATCTGTCAGGAGGAATGTGCCAAAATTCACCCAACTTATTGTGGGAAGCTTGTGGAAGGCTACCCAAAATGTTTGACCCAAGTTAAACAATTTAAAGGCAATGCTACCAAATACTAATTGAGTGTATGTAAACTTCTGACCCACTGGGAATGTGATGAAAGACATAAAAGCAGAAATAAATAATTCTCTCTACTATTATTCTGACATTTCACATTTCAGGGAATTTTTACTAGGATTAAATGTCAGGAATTGTGAAAAACTGAGTTTAAATGTAAGGGCTAAGGTGTATGTAAACTTCCGACTTCAACTGCACATTAATTTGTCCAATAGAAATGTTTGTTTGCAACTGTTGGACTAATGATTACACCCTAGATCAGCTAGTAAGAGTGAATGTGTCACTGACGTCACTGTTCTCTCCACCTGTGTCCCTACATTGTAAACTTTCATTCATAGGCTAGGTTGTAGTAACCACATGATGGATATAAGGAAAATTCTAGTATCATGTAGGAGCCTAAAACTATCGATGGTATATTGAGCTGGGCGAAGGGAATATGAATGACAGTCATCCAATATGCTGTAATAGAAATAAGGCCATACAAAAATAATCGTCCTCCCTCATCTTAAACGGCACCGACCGCCACTGGTGTGTGTGTACCTCTGTGCTGGGTGGATGAGTTCTCCAGGGCATCCCAGGGCGTCCACAGCACCAGTGCATTGTGGGGGTCTGAGTGGGAGTGTCTTTGGTCCTGAAGAGGTGGGACTTCAGCCTGAAATCCAATCCCCACGTTGATCCTCCTGTGAGTGACAGGTCAATAACCAATCAAAGTTGTATATGCTTCACAGATTTGTTTCTCTGCACTAAAAATAGACTTGAAGCGTAAAAGATGGTTTAATAACGCAAGTTGTGATTGGGTAGGAGGTTAGTAAGAGGTGATGTGATTGGGTAGGAGGTTAGTAAGGGGTAATGTGATTGGGTAGGAGGTTAGTAAGGGGTAATGTGATTGGGTAGGAGCTTAGTAAGGGTGATGTGATTGGGTAGGAGGTTAGTAAGGGGTAATGTGATTGGGTAGGAGGATAGTAAGGGGTGATGTGATTGGGTAGGAGGTTAGTAAGGGGTGATGTGATTGAGTAGGTTAGTAAGGGGTGATGTGATTGGGTAGGAGGATAGTAAGGGGTGATGTGATTGGGTAGGAGGTTAGTAAGGGGTGATATGATTGGGTAGGAGGTTAGTAAGGGGTGATGTGATTGGGTAGGAGGTCCTTACGGTTTGATCTTTATTGGCTGCTCCCCGGGCTTTACCAAGTCACCATCACTCGTGGTTAGAGAGCTGTATAGCCCAGTTCCCTCCCTGTCTGGCCTCAGCATGGGAGGAGCGGTGTAGTAGGCCTCGGTAACAACAGTTGAACGCAGAATACTCTGGAACACCACAGCACCCCTAGTGGAGTGGCAGGGCAGGACAAGAGGAGAGGGGCGATGGTGATACCTCCTCTTGTCCTTTCTACTCTCATTCCGTTCTCTCCTTCCCTCATCCTCCCCTTCTTGGCGCTCCTCTTCCAGGCATGGATGGGGGGAGGCAGGGAGTCTGACGGGCACAGAGACGGGCATCAACATGGGGACAGGAGACACTGGAATCACCTCTTCTTTCTGCTGAGAGATAGAGAGACAGAGAGAAAGCGAGAGAGAGAGAGAGAGAGTGTGAGAAAGAGAGAGTTTACATTACAGGGATAGAGAAGTGTTGTGTGTGTGTGTGTGTGTGTGTGTGTGTGTGTCTGTGTGTGTGTGTGTGTGTGTGTGTGTGTGTGTGTGTGTGTTTGTGTGTGTGTCTGTGTGTGTGTGTGTGTGTCTGTGTGTGTGTGTGTGTGTGTGTGTGTGTGTGTTTGTGTGTCTGTGTGTGTGTGTGTGTGTGTGTGTGTTGTGTGTGTGTGTGTGTGTGTGTCTGTGTGTGTGTGTGTGTGTGTGTGTGTGTGTGTGTGTGTGTGTGTGGGTGTGGGTGTGTTGTCTCACCGTCCTGTGTGTTTGAGTCCTGCCGGTCTGTCCTCGGAGTCCTCCGTGAGAGCGCATGTGTCCGTTCAGAGCAGGAAGGCTCTTAAAGACCCTCCGACACACAGAACACAGCAGCCTGCTGCCACACACACACACACACACACACACACACACACACACACACACACACACACACACAGACACACACACACACACACACACATCATCATCATCATTATCATGATCAATATCATCATCATCAACATCAATACAAACACCATATTCAGGAATTTTCTGGATCAAAAAGGGTCTTAAGTGGTTGGCGTGGCAGGGGGTGGCAATGGGCGGTCAGCCCGTCTGCGAAACTGAATTTGGGGGCAAAAAAAAAATGTTTTTGAGGCCCCCATCTTGGCGGCAGAGAGAATTTGGGGGTTTTAAAGCCAATTTCCTGTAATTCAACAACATTTTTCATGGAGCTGATTAAAATGTTCTAGTTTTAAAGCTAATTTCCTGCAATTCTATGCATTTACTGTGTTCTTATGCTCGAACATTATACAAAATCAATACTCCTGAATTGATCATTTATGTCTAGCTTTTTTTTTGTGATTGTTAGTTCTCAAGTATAAAAAAATACACTGAGTATACAAAACATCCCTTATAGATGTCTTTTGTTAAATCCTCTACAATCAGTGTAGATGAAGGGGGGGAGACAGGTTAAAGAAGGATTTTTAAACATTGAGACAATTGAGACATGGATTGTGTATATGTGCCATTCAGAGGGTGAATGTACAAGAAAAAAGATTGAAGTGCCTTTGAACAGGGTATGGTAGTAGGTGCCAGGCGCACCGGTTTGATTGTGTCAAGAACTGCAACGCTGCTGGGTTTTTCACACTCAACACTTTCTCGCGTGTATCAAGAATGGTCCACCACCCAAAGGACATGCAGCAAACTTGACACAATTGTGGGAAGCATTGAAGTCAACAAGGGCCAGGATCCCTGTGGAATGCTTTCAACACCTTGTAGAGTCCAGGTCCATAATATTTACTATATATTTTTTTACTGGTTTTAGTCATTTATGTTTACATTAAAAGTGTTTTTCCATCCCGAAAATATATTACCAAAACATATATATATATACAGTACAAATCAAAAGTTTGGAAACACCTACTCATTCAAGGGTTTTTCTTTAGTTGTACAATTTTTTACATGGTAGAATAATAGTGAAATAACACAAATGGAATCATGTAGTAACCAGAAAAGTGTTAAACAAATCCAAATATATTTTATATTTGAGATTCTTCAAATAGCCACACTTTGCCTTGATGACAGCTTTGCACACTCTTGGCATTCACTCAACCAGCTTCATGAGGTAGTCACCTGGAATGCATTTCAATTAACAGGTGTGACTTCTTAAAAGTTAATTTGTGGAATTTATTTCCTTCTTAATGTATTTCAGCCAATCAGTTGTGTTGTGACAAGGTAGGGGTGGTATACAGAAGATAGCCCTATTTGGTAAAACACCAAGTCCATATTATGGCAAGAACAGCTCAAATAAGCAAAGAGAAATGACAGTCTATCATCACTTTAAGACATGAAGGTCAGTCAATTGCAGTCGCAAAAACTATCAAGCGCTATGATGAAACTGGCTCTCATGAGGACCACCACGGGAATGAAGACCCAGAGTCACATCTGCTGCAAATGATAAGTTCATTAGAATTACCAGCCTCAGAGATTGCAGCCCAAATAAATGCTTCACAGAGTTCAAGTCACAGACACATCTCAACATCAACTTTTTAGAGGGGACTGTGTAAATCAGGCCTTCATGGTCGAATTGCTGCAAAGAAACCACTACTAAAGGACACGAACAAGAAGAAGAGACCTGCTTTGGCCATATAACACGAGCAATGGACATCAGACCGGTGGAAATTTGTCCTGTGGTCTGGAGTCCAAATTTGAGATTTTTGGTTCCAACCGCCATGTCTTTGTGATACGCGGTGTGGGTGAACCGATGATCTCCGCATGTGTAGTTCCCACCGTAAAGCATGGAGGAGGAGGTGTTATGGTGTGGGGGTGCTTTGCTGGTGACACTGTCTATGATTTATTTAGAATTCAAGGCACACTTTACCAGCATGGCTACCACAGCATTCTGCAGCGATACGCCATCCCATCTGGTTTAGTCTTAGTGGGACAATCATTTGTTTTTCAACAGGACAATGACCCAACACACCTCCAGTCTGTGTAAGGGCTATTTGACCAAGAAGGAGAGTGATGGAGTGCCTCATCAGATGACCTGGCCTCCACAATCCCCCGACCTCAACCCAATTGGGATGGTTTGGGATGAGTCGGACCGCAGAGTGAAGGAAAAGCAGCCAACAAGTGCTCAGCATATGTGGGAACTCCTAGAATGTTGGAAAAACATTCCAGGTGAAGCTGGTTGAGAGAATGCCAAGAGTGTGCAAAGCTGTCATCAAGGCAAAGGGTGGCTACTTGGAAGAATCTCAAATATAAAATATATTTTGATTTGTTTAACACTTTTTGGTTACTACATGATTCCATATGTGTTATTTCATAGTTTTGATGTCTTCACTATTATTATACAATGTAGAAAATAGTAAAAAATAAAGAACACCCCTTGAATGAGTAGGTGTGTCCAAACATTTGACTGGTAGTGTATTTTTTTTTTCATTCTTCACGGTTTGGGACGTAGGCGGCCCGAAAAACGCTTAGGCGGCCCACCCAGGACAGAAAACCCTGCATATCTAACATGCACACACACACAAACGCACACACACACACACACACACACACACACACACAAACGCACACACACACACACACACACACACACACACACAAACGCACACACACACACACACACACACACACACACACCAGCGTACCTGCAGTTTGGTGTCTCATAGTTTCCAGAATGTTCCGTCAATGTCATCTAAAAGAGCAACAAAACCAACATTAATTTAACACACTCTGTCAATTTGAAACCCCACCTCTTTAAGGAATACCTGGGATAGGATAAAGGAATCCTTCTACCCCCCCCCCCCCCCCCCAATTGTAAAGTGGTTATCCCACTGGCTATAGGGTGAACGCACCAATTTGTGAGTCGCTCTGGCTAAGAGCGTCTGCTAAATGACGTTAATGTGCCCTTGAGCAAGGCACTTAACCCTAATTGCTCCTGTAAGTCGCTCTGGATAAGAGCGTCTGCTAAATGACTAAAATGTAATGTAAATGTCAAGTATATCAGATATCCTTAATGCTTTAGTTTTAGCTCAGTGAGCTAACACAGTCTTGTGGCAAGCAGTGAGACCACCCAGACTGCCCGTGTTCAGACACAAGGAGGAGGATGCTACTGTACCTGGGTCTGCTGTGCCGGGGGTGAGTAGAGAGGCTTCAGATGGTTCCATTGATTCAAATGGTTCAAGTGATTCAATTGATTCAAATGGTTCAAGTGATTCAATTGATTCAAATGGTTCATTTGTGGTCCTCTCCTCTCTGGGGTCACCTGCTGGACGGCTGGACTTACCCCCATCTCTGACCCCCACCCCCCACGCGGGAGGAGAGGGGGAGAGAAGTAGAGAGGGCTGGGTCTAGGGTTAGGGTTAGGGTTAGGGTAGGGGCTATAGGAGGGGCTTGGGCTGGGCTGGTTAGGATTGGGTCTGGGGCTGGATTGAGGGCTGAGGTGACGGTAAGAGTAGGGACTATGGTTAGGGTGGGGGCTGTAGGTAGGGTTGGGGTTAGGGTTGGGGTTAGGGTTGGGGTTGTAAGTAGGGTTGGGGTTAGGGTTGGGGCTGTAAGTAGGGTTCGGATTGGGTTTAGGGTTGGGGCTGGGGCTGTAGGTAGGGTTAGGGCTGGGGTTAGGGTTGGGGCTGTCGGTAGTGTTGGTGTTGGGGAGGAGGCTGTATTTGGATTGAAGATGGGGGTGAGTGCTGGGGTTGGATTGAGGGTGAGAGTTAAAGTTAGAGTTGGGATGGGAGTGGGAGTGGGAGTGAGGGAGAGGGTAAGGGTTGGAGTAAGACTGGGGACCAGGGTACCAGGGTGAGGTGGGTTCCACAGAGGTTAGAGGACTCTGGGCTGGCTGTGTGTACAAACAGGGGCTTGGTTGTTGGTCTGCGTGGGCCTGTGTCTGTGTTTGTGTGTAGGAGATGTGTGTGTGCTGCTGGGTGTGACTCTGGTTCTGTGAATAGCCCCCTCCCTGTCCTTGGTTCTGTGAATAGCCCCCTCCCTGTCCTTGGTTCTGTGAATAGCCCCCTCCCTGTCTTTGTTCTTGTCTCTGGATCTGGGCCAGGATGTGGAGTCTGACCTGGTGCTTCTGGCTCTGTAGTTGTCTCTGGACAGACTGATGCTGGTGATGGTCCAGCTGGCTCTGGACAGACTGATGGTGGTGATGATCCAGCTGGCTCTGGACAGACTGATGCTGGTGATGGTCCAGCTGGCTCTGGACAGACTGATGGTGGTGATGATCCAGCTGGCTCTGGACAGACTGATGCTGGTGATGGTCCAGCTGGCTCTGGACAGACTGATGCTGGTGATGGTCCAGCTGGCTCTGGACAGACTGATGCTGGTGATTGTCCAGCTGGGTCTGTAGCTGGCTCTGGACAGACTGATGGTAGTGATGGTCCAGCTGGCTCTGGACAGACTGATGGTGATGATGGTCCAGCTGGCTCTGGACAGACTGATGCTGGTGATGGTCCAGCTGGCTCTGGACAGACTGATGGTGGTGATGGTCCAGCTGGCTCTGGACAGACTGATGCTGGTGATGGTCCAGCTGGCTCTGGACAGACTGATGCTGGTGATGGTCCAGCTGGCTCTGGACAGACTGATGCTGGTGATGGTCCAGCTGGGTCTGTAGCTGGCTCTGGACAGACTGATGGTAGTGATGGTCCAGCTGGCTCTGGACAGACTGATGCTGGTGATGGTCCAGCTGGCTCTGGACAGACTGATGGTGATGATGGTCCAGCTGGCTCTGGACAGATTGATGGTGATGATGGTCCAGCTGGCTCTGGACAGACTGATGTTGATGATGGTCCACCTCCACCTGCTGGATCTGATGGTGGTTGCAGTTCTGAAGGTCCAGTTGAGTCTGAAGGTCCAGAGACTGCTGTTTCATGTGATGGTTCTGCTGGTTCTGCTCGTTGCTGTACATGGTCTGGGAGTCTAGTAGGGGATCCTGATAGCTGTTGGGGGTCTGATGGTCCTTGTGGGTCTTGAGCTGCCTCTGGTGGTTTCTGTTGCTGTGGTTAGTCTGCTGGTCAGGCTGGGGGTTCTTGTCCCGGAACAGCTGATGGTTGAGGTTAGTTCTGGAGCCGTGGTTGTGGTAGTCCTGCAGAGTGTCTGGGTCAGGGTGGGTTTCTGTCTGCCGGTACGACTGGTCCTGGGTATAGTCCTGGTAGCCATATTGCAGGGAGGGCTGGGAAAGGGGAGATAGTAGCTGACATGGGTCCACATCAGAAGGGAACTCTGTCTCCACTAGGCCCCGGGGCTGGGTCGATAACTGGGACTGAGAGAGCGGGGAGAAAGGCTCTGGGAAGGGGAGCTGTGTTTGGGAGAAGAGGGGGTGGTGGACAGAGGAGAGAGGAGAGGGCCGGGGGGCAGAGAGGGGGGAATGGAGAGGGGAGAGAGGAGAGGGCCGGGGGGTGGAGAGGGGGGAATGGAGAGGGGAGAGAGGAGAGGGCCGGGGGGCGGAGAGGGGGGAATGGAGAGGGGAGAGAGGAGAGGGCCGGGGGGCGGAGAGGGGGGAATGGAGAGGGGAGAGAGGAGAGGGCCGGGGGGCGGAGAGGGGGGAATGGAGAGGGGAGTCCATGATAGGATGATGCTGCTTAGACATCACGTCAATAACCCTCGCTCACAACACAATGCTACTGCTCACAACACAATGCCTGACATATGGTTTGGTACATTGGCCATGCAGCAATGAAGTTCTCTTCATCTAGTAGTGGGGTTGATGCTCATCCGTCAATTGTATGTATGTTTGGGAGTATGTTGTTCTCACTGGCCGCCTAATTGTCACTGTCAGACCTACAACAAAGGAGAGAGAGGGTTAACACACACATATACCTTTAAGAAGGCATCATTTCTGGGTATGAGTAATGTAAAGGGATGTGTGTATATAACAGGGTATGAGTAATGTAAAGGGATGTGTTAAAAACGGGGTGGGGAAAATTTTAAAGGGATTGTTATAAACGGGGTATGAGAATTTTAAAGGATGGGGGTTAATAACAGGGGTATGGTTTAAGGGTTTTGGGAAATTTGGGGTTTGGTAAAAAAAGGGTGTTGTTTATAACCCGGGGATGAGTATGGTGGGTGTGTGTTTCGGGGTTTTGTTGTGGGTGTTGTTTCTTTTTTTTATGTGGGGTGTTTTCGGGTTGTTTTTGACACCCCAAACGTTGGCTTCCATGCAGTTTCAAAATCTCCCCCTTCCCCCCCATCCTTCAACCCCCACACAAACAGCACCCCCACCACCCACAAACCACCACCACACAAACACACAACCCACACTTCTCCTGGCAGAAATCCAGATAACGTCCTGTCCATGACCTGATAGTTTAAAAAAAAAAAAAAAAAAAAAGAGGTTTTTTTCCCATTGAAACTTTTCCCCTTTTTTCCCCCCTTTCCCTTTAAAGGCAATCACAACCCCGGTAGGTAAGGGGTTTGTATGGCCAGTTGAAAAAAACACAAAAGTTAGGGGTTTTGGTGTGTGTTGTGGGGGGGGGTGGGGAGGGGAAAAAGGGGGTTAAGAACCCCAAATAATTGGGGAAAGGGAAAAAAAAAAAAAAACAAAAGGAAAAACAGGGGGATTTTTTTGAAGTTTTCCCGGCCAAAATAACTTTACAGTGGGGAAATTTGAGAGAAAGGAAAAGAAGGGAGAAAAAAGAAAAAAGATAAAGGGGAAAAAGAAAAAAAATTTTGGGGGGGGTTTTTTTTTTTTTAATTTTAGGGGAAGAAAACCCCCCCCCCCCCAAAGGTTTTTCCCCCCAAAGCTTAACTTTAAAAGGGGGGTTCTATCCTTTTGGGGAAATAAAATTCGACTCCATTTAGGAGGCAAAAAATTTAAAACAGTTATGCCCTTTGCCCTTCGGGTGGGCGGCCCGTTGCCAGGTAGAGCATGGGTTAAAACCCCGGGTTGTTTCTTTTCCCGGGGGGGATTAAAAAATGTATGCACTCACTAACTGAAGTGCTCGGATAAGGGGTCGCTAAATACTAAAAGGGGAAAAAAACCCAAAATTGTACAAAAAAAAAAACCAAAAATAAGATGCAGAGCAAATTTGGGGCCAAAATACCCTAATTATCAAAATCCGAAAAAAAAACCTTTAAAATTCTATAACCAAACTTAAAAAGGGAAGCGTTTCCAAAATTTAAAAAAACCCATCACCTAAGAGAATAACTTGAAGAGCCCCCCTAAGCAAGCTGGTCCGGGGCTCTTTTCCAACCAAAAAGAGCCCCAGGACAACAACACAATTATAGAAAACAGAGAAAAAAAAAAGAGAATTATTGACCATTTGGAAAATTTAAAAAGCAAAACCGGAATGTATTTGGGGCCCAAAACGAGAGACACTGGGAAATTTAATTTTTTTTTATTTTTTAAACTTTTGAGTGTATTTTTCTATCTACATTCTTTCTTTTGGCATGTTAAAATACGTTTCCCATGCCAATAAAGCCCAAATTTAAATTGAAAATTTAGAGACAAGGTGGGAAAAAAAAAAACCCCCCCCCCGGGGGGCTCGGGGGGGGGGGGTTTTTTTTTCGGGGGGGGGCCCTTTTTTTTTCTTTCCCCTATCTTTTTGGGGGAAAAAAAAGGGGGGCTTTGGGGGGCCCCCCCCCCTTGGGCCCCCCCGGGGGGCCGTTTTCCCTTTTTTTTTCCCCCCCCGGGGGGAAAACCCTTTTAAAAAAAGGGGGGGGAGGAGGCGGGGAGTGGGGGAAAGGGTTTCCTTTTGAATTTAATTTTTTGGGTAGAGGGGGTTGTGGCAGGGTTCTTATTCCTTGAGCGGTCCCCACCCAAAAAAAAAAAAAACCAAACAAGAGAAAAAGGGAGGATTTTTAAATTAATTAGAAAAAATAAAAACCAAAGGAAAATTAACGATAAAGTGAAAAGGAAAAAAAATGAGAAAAGGGAACGATAAAGGGGGAAAAAAATACTTTTAACCCGGGGGAAAGGATAAGAATTCTAAAAGGGATTTTTAAGTAAACAGAATTTAAAAAGAAAAAAAGAAAAAGGGTTTTAACTAAAAAGCTTTTTATAGGAACTAGAGAAGGTTTCCCCCCAAAAATTAACTAACCAAAACAAATTAAATTTGGGGAAAGGTTTTTACCAAGGAGAAAAGGAAGGGGAAAAGGGAACCGGAGGAAGAAGAGAAGCAAAATGAAAGGGGGTGCGAAAAGAGGAAGGCAAAAAGGGGAACCAGGAGGGAAAGGGGAAAAGGGAGGTTAAAGGGGGAAAAGGAGGGATGAAAAGGAAAGCTATGGTTAATCCCCGTTTCGAAGAGGAAGGTTAAAGCTTTCCAGGAGGTTCGAAAAAACAAAAACAAAACCCCAAAAAACAAGGAAGCCCCCCAAAAGGCTGAATAGGATTAACAGGAAACTAAAAAAGGCTTAAATCCAGGAGTCTGAATAGGGAAGGAAAAGGGGGTGTATTCCCCGGGGGTGATAAAAGGAGGCTATAAAAGTGGGAATCCCGGG